CACATGGCCGAATCGGCCCAGGTAGTCGTAGTCTCCGTGGCCTACCGCCTGGGAGTGTTTGGCTTCCTCTACGGCGGCCCCGGGACGGACGCCCCGGGAAACCTCGGTCTCCGAGACCAAGTGCTGGCGCTGAAATGGGTGCAGGAGAATATCGCCGGTTTTGGAGGAGACCCAAGCCAGGTGACCATCTTCGGACAGTCGGCGGGGTCGATGAGCGTGGGGGCGTTGGTACTGTCCCCGCTGGCCGACGGCCTCTTCCGCCGGGCGATCATGATGTCCGGGGCGCCGAACTCCTATCTGGGCAGTGAGCCGGCGAGGAAGTCGCTCAACAAAACGCTTGACCTAGCGGAGAAACTCCACTGCAACAATTCTGAAAACTCAATCCCCAAAATTTTGACCTGTCTTCGAGGAAAGACCGCCCAGCAGCTGCTCGATTCCACAAATCTGGCCCTTCTCGACGGCGAGTCCTTTATCCCAGTTTACGAAGACCGGGACTTCCTGCCGACGCCCCCCGTGGTGGAGCTCAAATCGGGAAAGAGCTTCCACAAGAAGGGCATCGACCTGATGTTCGGCGTCACCTCCGGCGAGGGCAGCGGCTTTGTGGTGCCCTACCTGCCGATCATCAACTCCGACCAGATTGACCTCAAGATGACCCGGTCGGCGCTGGGGCTCCTGTTTCAGATCTTTCAGCTGCCCTACTACCAAGAGGTGGAGGACTTCTATACTAAAGGCCTGAACGACTCGGACAAGGACAGTTTGCGGTAAGTAGAAAGATAATAAAACCTTTTTTTAAAAACTTTTTAAATTTTTTATTTTCTGTTAGACGAGCTATTGCCAGCTCCTTTGGCGACTTTCACCTGACCTGTCCGGAGATCTTCTTCGCGGAGGCACTGGCCAAAAGCAGTCCCACCAGTCGCCTCTTCTCCTACCGGGTAACTCAGCAGATCAGTCGAGGTTGTCGAGGTTGGATGGACGTCTGCCATGCTGAGGATAATACGCTAGTCTTTGGTCACCCCGTGGTGGAGCCTAGGCGTTTTACGGCCATCGAGACGAAGCTCTCCGCTGATATGGTCCGGGCGTGGACGAACTTTGCCAAGCACGGCGATCCGGGTCATTGGGAGGGAAGTGGAAGTGGAAATGGAAGTTCCAGTAATGTTCAGTGGAGTGGTGCCTTTGCCGGTGCTGATCACTCTTCGGTGCAGTTTATGGAGCTCAATGCCCATCACTACCGAATGGTTGAAGGTTTCTACCAGAAGAGCTGTGACGGTTTTTGGAAGGCGAAGTTGTTTGCCTGAGAGAGAAAGAGAGTTGTTAAAAACAATAAAAAAAATTTGATTTTTTACATGACAACTTTTTCTTAAAATTGAGATTTTAAAATCTAAAATAAAAATAAAAAACAACTGAACTAGTTGACTGTTCTAATGTTGTACTTGCAAATTGTAGTTTTGTACAAAAAAATAAAATCCGTTTTTATCTAATCAAAGATGATCGTGAAAGTGATTTTGTGCCCTGATTTGTTCAGTCCAACGGTGACATTTAGTGTACAACAGTAACAAGTCTAGAAAGAAAGGGCACACACATTTTCTGGTATCTAGGTTTTTGTTCTTTTTACCACTGAACCACCACCACCATCGCCTGCACCTAGTATTCCCAATGCACAAATCAACCTGTGAACGGGCAACCCTGATGACGACTTGATGATCAGGGTAATCCCCTGCCTCATCCCAACCAGATTCAAATTAGGTACAACCCCGCAATCCACACTATAAAGTAGGTCACCTTAACAGCAAAAAAGTGATGAGACAACAGCACTCTGTTGTCGAGATCTAACTTACCAAAAACCCCAAAAAAATGTTGAAGCTTACGGGTATCTTTTTTGTCCTATTTATTGGCGCCTCAGTGTCCGCTGTCGAGTACTCGCCCACGGTGGACCTGGCTGCCGGCAAGGTCCGCGGCCTGGTCATCGACGTCGAGGACTACGGCAAGGTGGACGCCTATGTGGGCATTCGCTATGTAAGCTTTCTCTTTCTATTAATTTTATTCTTTTTTTAACACTTAATTTTTTCAAAAATTCTAGGGCCGCGCCGAGCGTTTTGCCAAGCCAAAACCGGTCACCAAGTGGGAGGGCCTCTACAATGCCACCAGCTGGCAGTTTGCNTTTTATTTTGAACTCATTTTTTAACCATTTATTCAAAAATTCTAGGGTCACGCCGAGCGCTTTGCCAAGCCAAAGCCGGTCACCAAGTGGGAGGGCCTCTACAATGCCACCAGCTGGCAGTTTGCCTGTCCCCAGCACTCGGTCCCCTTTTCGGAGACGGTCAAACACGTCACCGCCCTCAAAACGACCGTCGCCAACGAGGACTGCCTCTTCGTGAACGTCTACCGGCCGGCAACGCCCAAGGCAAGCCCTCGCTCCGTCATGGTCTGGGTCCACGGCGGTGGCTTTACTGAAGGTAAGCACAATAACATAGGTAAAAGGTCCTAGAATTATGTTAATTTTTTTCCCTTTAAATCTAGGCACCATCTTCAGCGTCTACTACGACGGCCGGTACCTGGCGGCTGCGGGCGATGTGATCGTGGTGACGGTCAACTACCGTCTGGACGCCTTCGGCTTTCTGCACACCACCTCCGAGGAGGCGCCCGGAAATCAGGGTCTCTACGATCAGATCCTCGCTCTGGAGTGGGTGAAGGCGAATATCGAAAAGTTTGGTGGTGACCCGAAGAGTGTAACNCTGCGGGCGATGTGATCGTCGTGACGGTCAACTACCGCCTGGACGCCTTCGGCTTTCTGCACACCACCTCCGAGGAGGCGCCCGGAAATCAGGGTCTCTACGATCAGATCCTCGCTCTGGAGTGGGTGAAGGCGAATATCGAAAAGTTTGGTGGTGACCCGAAGAGTGTAACGCTTTTTGGCGAATCTGCGGGCTCATTTTCCACTTCAGCCCTTTTCCTGTCACCACTAACGAAGGGACTCTTCCACCGAGCTATCATGCAATCAGGGGCGACCAACAGCTGGCTCGGCTCTCAGAGCTCTCCAAAATCTTTAGAAGTAACAAAAAATCTTGCCGAAACTTTGAACTGCTCCAGCGATAAGGAGGCGGAGGTGATCAAGTGTCTGCGATCGAAAACTGTAAATGAAATTCTCGATGCGACAAAACCGGCGCTCCAGAACGGTGAAAACTTTATTCCCACCTACGGAGAGGCGTTGATGCCGATGCCGCCGGTAAAGGCGCTGAAGGGCGGCCATTTTAACAAGGACGTCGATCTGATGTACGGCGTGACGAAGAATGAAGGTATAATGATTTGATGATTTCATCCGATCTGAAACTCATCCTTTCTTCTATGTTGTCTTTAGGTTCGATGTTCGTGGTGGAGATCTTCGACCTGCCCTTCCTCGACCCGGACCACAACAACACCGACTACAATGTGACGCAGGTCAATGGCTTCATCACCTTTATGATGACCATCTTCGAGGATAAGAAGCCGAAGGAGGTAGCGGACTACTACACGAAGAACCTGAAGAATGACGACAAGGATGAGATGAAGTAAATGACCGTTATTTACTAAAAAACCTGTGAACTTTAAACTTTTTACCTTTTTCTTCAGACGAGCCATCTCCTACGCTTTNTTTTGATCTTTTTTCAGACGAGCCATCTCCTACGCTTTTGGCGATTATCACCTCGTCTGCCCTACAGTTCTTTTTGGAGAGGAAGTAGCCAAACACGTCCCAGGCAACAAGTTTTACTCTTATCGACTGATGAAGCGGACCAAGACGCCGGTCATGTTTTGCCGAGGCT